ATTTTTACCGTAGCTGTTTTTGATATTGGAGTAAATGCTTATTTTCGAAACATCCCCATTTCTTTGAAATGGTTTCGTCCGTTTATGCAACTGTTACTGCGCTAATGACGACCAGTCGCGCTGTCCTGATACACCGCGAATGTGCGAGTGTTCCCTGTAGACAGTCCCGGGAGTCATTTTTTTGCACATTCCAGGAGCCAAACCAAAATACGTTCATGAACCGAGTCCAAAAAACCGAAACGTGAAAATCGGATGATCGGACCTGATGTACATTTCTCTTTCTATAGATTGTACACACAATACACACATCTTTAGATAATCTGGCCATGGCAGGTTAAAAAAAAAGTAACCCTGAATCATACTAGATTAGCGTAAATGCATGTTAATGCGTTCAAAACAAGAAAAAATTGTTTCCGGGTATTAATCTCTTGAATCACGGCGCTGAATATTGACGCAAAAATATTTCGGGCATCGCGCGCCTTCCCCAAATCCCGCGTCACGTGTCGGCATCTCGCATCTCTGATTGGTTGTTGCGTCTTAAGATGACTGAGCCGACGCGCGTTTAAACAATTTTTCTTTGTTCGATTTATCACACTTCACAGAGAATTGTCGCCAATGGCTACTTCTTTTTGTTGCAATATATAATACTTCACGGAGAATTGTCGCCTATGGCTTCTTGTTTTTTTTATAAATGGTAGAAACGGAGTTTTCTGCACTATATTGAGAGACAACTTTGTGGGTGACAATTACCTAAAATTTCAGAAAAACATCTTTAGAAACAAAAAAGATATTACAGAATATATAGTGCTGGGGTCCGCGTGGACCCCAGGTGTACTGTTTAGGGTTAAGTATACTTCAATCAAGTTATTGACAGACCTTTAATGATGCAAGAGGGGTGCAAATGTTGGAGGACACTATGCAGTGAAAAAGAGATACATGTACATGTGTTTTGCTGTTTTTGTTGACAAAATAATTAATCTTCTTGTTGCTATTGCTTACAGAGTCACATATACTTTAATGTAATACTATGGAAGATTATCCCTTTTTTTTTGCAGATGATGAAGATCCACAAGTCAACTTGAACCTTCTCGTTGCTGAACTTAACACACCTGCAGTAAAGAGAAACAAGCCGCAACAGTTTGAACTGTACTGTCAGATAGGAGATCTCTACAGGACAAAACTACACAACTTACAGTCAGCTCTGCAGTATTACCAGAATATGTTAGAGTGTTCTCAGGAACTGTCAGATAAATCAAAACAAGCCAACGCCTACAGCAGACTTGGTGTAACATATGGATTGTTAGATGAACAAGAAAAGGCCTTTAGATACAACATGATGGCTTTGAGTTTCCATGACATTAGGCTAGAAAGAGATACTGACATTTGTGTAGCTTACAAAAAGCTAGCCTCATCATTAGCACAGTCAGATCAACAAGCGTCAGATGCAAAAACTACCTATGAATCAGCCTTGGCTGTTGCCATGGAGATAGGAAACAAGACTCAACAGATGGACATTTACTTGGAGCTGGGTGATTTACACAGGGAACAGCTACATGAACCACAGAAATCCCACAAGTACTACACAGAGATGTTGGCACTAGCCAGGGACTTGGGGAGGAAGGACAAGGAGAGGCAAGCTTACAACAGACTGGGACTGGCTTGTGGGGACATGCAGGATTATGAGACAGCTTTGGAGTGGCATCAAAAGGACCTGAATATGAGCCAAGAAAGTGGAGACAAGACTGAACAGATAGCAGCACATCAAAACATAGCTGATTCCTACATGACACTGGGTAAACTGGACCTGGCCAGATCTCACTATCAATCAGCAAAGACCATCGCCATGGAGACAGCAAACAAGACTAGACAGATGGACATTTACTTGAAGTTGGGTGATTTACACAGGAAACAGCTACATGAACCACAGGAATCACACAAGTACTACACAGAGATGTTGGCACTAGCCAGGGACTTGGGGAGGAAGGACATGGAGAGTCTGGCTTACAACAGACTAGGACTGGCTTGTGAGGACATGCAGGATTATGAGGCGGCTTTGGAGTGGAACAAGAAGTATCTGAAGATGAGCCAAGAAAGTGGAGAAAAGACTGAACAGATGACAGCAAAAACAAACTTAGGTGCTTCCTACAAGGCACTGGGTAAACTGGACCTGGCCAGATCTCACTATCAATCAGCAATGACCATCGCCATGGAGACAGGAAACAAGACTAGACAGATGGACATTTACTTGGAGCTGGGTGATTTACACAGGGAACAGCTACATGAACCACAGGAATCACACATGTACTACACCGAAATGTTGGCACTAGCCAGGGACTTGGGGAGGAAGGACAAGGAGAATCAAGCTTACAACAGACTGGGACTGGCTTGTTGGGAAATGCAGGATTATGAGGCAGCTCTGGAGTGGTCCAAGAATTTCCTAAAGATGTGCCTAGAAAGTGGAGACAAGACTGAACAGATAACCGCACATCAAAACATAGCTGCTACCTGCATGGCACTGGGTAAACTGGACCTGGCCAGATCTCACTATCAGTCAGCAATGACCATCGCCATGGAGACAGGAAACAAACAAAAACAGGAGGACATTGCCATGGAGCTGGCTAATCTGTAACAATACCATTGTAATGGACAGTAAGCAGGCTACGTACATATATGTATAGTAGTAAAACTGTAACATTACCATGTAATTCAGTCCAGTTACAGCACAAAACTCCAGGACCTGTACTTCATCAACAGGCAAATGCTTTCTTTAGCAACAGGTAACAAAAACAAGTAACTTAGTGTGAATATACGTTGTGAAGATTTCATAATTTTCTGGTGCTGACATTAACCTCAAATTACAGTTGGATAAACAGATGTACTACATGTACATGTATTAGTATTAGGCCATGTTCCCTTTATTATTAAAATTATTCAGATCGAGCCAAGCTGATTCAAAGCCAGACCAAAGCAAATCAATTCAGCTCTACCTAGACAATTTAATCCTAGTGGGAATGGGGCCCTGGTCACTTTCACTAGTTTTAGTAATAAAAACTATCATGATACCTCAGACTCTACAATGTATGTTTAAGGCCACACCGATTCATATTATTTCTTTGAAATTCTTACTTTTTTTAATAAAAAAGGAGGAATTTGACAGCTTTACAACTGACAAAATATAAACTATTGATGTTAATATTTGTTTGTTTGCGCCTTTATCCATACTCGATAAAATTAATACTGATTACATGTATTAAGATACTCATTTCTATGACTTGTATGAGTTCATACTCTCCAACCAACAATTATAGTCTTATCTAACCAGAGAAACCCAATAGTATTTAATGCATTTAACCAGAATTAGGCAAATGTACATGTGGTACTGATTTGAATTGAATGTTTATAAATGATATTTACACCAAGTTACACTGTACTAATGCTGCAAATATAAAACAGTTACACTATTTTTTTCTATCAATTTTGTATTTCTTGTTTTATTCACAAGATTTAAAAATCTGAAGTTCTCCTACAGTACCAAAACAAGCCGAATACTCCAGGAAGCCAAAAATCTAAATCATTTTGAGGTCTAATCAAGTAATAGACCTTCCCACCCACCAAGTTTCATGTACATGTATATTGACAATCCATACTAGTAGGCTCTTGACTTATTGTGCTAACCCTTTCACATACATTATGATAAAAACATACATATTTTACACATATACACATACATGTGCACATACATGTACATAACAATGCAACCAAAATCTTAACCAAAAGGATGTAAATGTACTAAGCTTGGGTATATACTATAGTTCTTTCTGTAAATATAAGGACGAGAAGAATTAACGCTGATAACACTTTCTAGACTTACATGTACACATACAAGTGTAAAAATGACGAAGTGTTATGGAGGAGACCTTCTGGATTGGTTTGAGCGGGAACTCGAACTAAATAATTTTATGTATTACTAAGTTATTCACATTTTTTAGGATTGGGCAAAATTGTTTTACATCATGTGCAGAATAAAACATGTTTTATATAACACCCTCCAGTTTAATTTGGGAGTTCCAGTTTAATTTGGGACAACCTCCCAAATATCATTCACTTTAAACCCAAATGGCTAAATATCACATCTGGTAGGAACAAATGAAGTTAGGAATACGTAGCCATCATTGATGAACCCCTGGGGACTAGCCAAATTCTGCAGAATTCTGCGACCTGGATGCAGAATTCTGTGCAGAATTCTGCAAACTGGACGCAGAATTCTGCAGAATTCTGGGAACTTAAACCAGGTTTTCCCTCAGTTTGGTGAAGTAAAGCTTATTGTTGAGTGTTAATTTAAAGGTGTGGCAAATCCTGGGGGGTCTTTAGCCTTGCTCCCTTATACCTGTCACATTGTGCACAAATCAACCAAATGACGAGTCTGCGAGCTCTAAATGACATTTTCATTGACTCAGTAATATATGTCCAGTGTTTTCTCCATCAGAGCACAATTTTTAGTGATCATCAACGATTTTCAGGAGTTGGCAGATAGTTGCTGTGCAGCGACTTGAGCTCATTAACAGGTCGCCTGTACATTGTAGGTCCCTGGTAGGTCCAGGTGATGGGTGAGCACAGAGCAACTTATTGCTCATCAGCTGCAAATTGGGCTATAGCATTACCAGTGGGGCAAGTTTGTTTCACGGTTTGCAAAATATATATGATTGTACAATTGTCCAAGCAGCTTACATATGCAGGTTTAAAATTGTCATTACCAGTAGTCATTTTTACAAAATAGTACTTTTTATTTAGAAAGATCAATTTAATGAACAGCTACATCCTTGATGTAGTGTTTGGCTACAGATCATGAGCTGGCTATGAAAGATTACACAATCTCCATTCATGGAACCNACACCCTCCAGTTTAATTTGGGAGTTCCAGTTTAATTTGGGACAACCTCCCAAATATCATTCACTTTAAACCCAAATGGCTAAATATCACATCTGGTAGGAACAAATGAAGTTAGGAATACGTAGCCATCATTGATGAACCCCTGGGGACTAGCCAAATTCTGCAGAATTCTGCGACCTGGATGCAGAATTCTGCAGAATTCTGCGACCTGGATGCAGAATTCTGTGCAGAATTCTGCAGAATCCTGCAGAATTCTGCAAACTGGACGCAGAATTCTGGGAACTTAAACCAGGTTTTCCCTCAGTTTGGTGAAGTAAAGCTTATTGTTGAGTGTTAAAGGCGTGGCAAGTCCTGGGGGGTCTTTAGCCTTGCTCCCTTATACCTGTCACATTGTGCACAAATCAACCAAATGACGAGTCTGCGAGCTCTAAATGACATTTTCATTGACTCAGTAATATATGTCCAGTGTTTTCTCCATCAGAGCACAATTTTTAGTGATCATCAACGATTTTCAGGAGTTGGCAGATAGTTGCTGTGCAGCGACTTGAGCTCATTAACAGGTCGCCTGTACATTGTAGGTCCCTGGTAGGTCCAGGTGATGGGTGAGCACAGAGCAACTTATTGCTCATCAGCTGCAAATTGGGCTATAGCATTACCAGTGGGGCAAGTTTGTTTCACGGTTTGCAAAATATATATGATTGTACAATTGTCCAAGCAGCTTACATATGCAGGTTTAAAATTGTCATTACCAGTAGTCATTTTTACAAAATAGTACTTTTTATTTAGAAAGATCAATTTAATGAACAGCTACATCCTTGATGTAGTGTTTGGCTACAGATCATGAGCTGGCTATGAAAGATTACACAATCTCCATTCATGGAACCTTACAAATACATGTATACCCAGGGTTAACATGTATTAAAAGGAGGACAAAATCTTGGTCTTTAGGGTCACTTTTCTCAAATTGAAGCAGAAAGTATTAAGTTTTGTTACCATTCCTCCGCATAGAATTCTGCAGAATTCTGCAGATTTCTGCAGAATTCTGTAAAAATCTGCAGAATTCTATGTGGCAGAATTGTGAAAAAGCTAGCCTACATAATAGTATACATGTATTTGTCATCAAAGTTAGCTGCTTGTAAGGTTCTTCATCACCATCCTATAATATAGTTAACTCATTATAAAGAGTTCCATGAACTCATAGCCATACCTTCACTAAAGATGTTAAAAGTTCATGATTGACGAATATACCGTTCCTGGTCCAAGATGTCAAACCTCCTATTGCTAACACTGTGCGAAATCAGCACGGGAAGGGCCGCTGATGACGGAATAGTGTTACCTGACCTCAGCTTGCGTTTCTTGTACTGGAAAACTTTTACAATGGGCCAAAGAAAAGGGTTACGATTTCTTTGTTGATGAAGAATGCATCATTCTGCAGAGTAGAATTGTTTGAGAAGAGGGCAGAGGTAGTTTCAGTCAATCAGTGATGGCAAAATGCGGTAGTGGGGGGTGCCGCATAACGTGACACTATTGGTGGACATTAGTACCTGGTTGCTGACAAACCATCTATACATGTGTAAAGCAGGTAAATCTGTGACTGTAAGGTTTTCCACTGTCTTGGCTGTGTGTATCACAGATACATGCATGCTCATTGCAGCTAGGTGTACATTACGAACTTCAAGATGAAACGAGAAAAAACAGCTTGGCCTCCACGTTGAGGGCACACTTGGCAAGTGCAACAATGCTCCTTGTTTTACCAGTGACATCAGATGCACTTTCAAGTTAATCAAAGACTTTCTTACATTCTATCTAAATTACAGTATCATCAAATTTGCTTTTCCAGGGGACTGCAATTCTGTCGTCTGTTTCCAATGAAAGTTTGTGGCAGCTGATCCACACTTTTGTGACAGCAGTGCTCTGCCATTTTTGTTGAAATTTAGATACTGTTCTTCATTGTAAGTCAAGTTGAACAGTCCATAGGTCATCGGGCTTCTACTTGAATAGGAACCCCTAATTCATGGAAGTTCATGGATGTGCTTCAGTTGATGGACCATAAAGAATT